AAAAATGAGGCTTCCTCCAATCCTGATGCCATGTTCTTTTTCCTATAATTCAGCTTCTCTCATTATTTACTCAGCATACAAAGTATGGTGAAAGGATACAACCCTGGTAATGCAAAAATCCATAACAAAATACTAGCAAATTGAATCCAAAAGCATACATCATGATCAAGTGGGATTCATCTCAGGAACGTAAAGGTAGTTTAGCATAAAAAAAAATCAAGGTAAAAACACCACAATAATAGAATGAAGGAAAAGAACCACACATGATCAGTTGAATTGACACAAAAAAAGGAATTAGACAAAATCCAACACCTTTTCATGATGAAAAAATTTTAAAACCACCTAACACACTAGGAATGCAAGGGAAATTTTTCAATCTAATAATGGACTAATAAATGAATTCAGCAAGGTAGCAGGGTACAAGTTCAACACGAAAAAATAAGTTAGATTTCTGTGCAACAGCAATGATCAATATGAAAAGGAACTAATTCCATTTATAACAGCATTTAAAAATAAAATACCTAGGAATAAATTTTTCAATGTAAAAGACTTTGTACACTGAAAACCATAAAACCTTGCTGAAAGAAATTAAAGAAGACATAAGTGAATGCAAAGAAATTGGATATTCACAGATTAGTAGATAATACTATTAAGATGGCAATACTACCCAAAAACAATCTATAGACATAAAACAATCCTCATCAAAATTCCAACAGCTTTTTCCACACATATGGAAAGGCCAATCGTCAAATTTGTATGTAACAGCAAGGGGCTCCAAATAACCCAGACTCAGTCAGTCTTAACGAGTTGATTCCAACTCACAAATAACCTAAGTAGAGTTTCTGAGGTTGTAAATCTTTACAGGAGCAGAAAGTCTCATTTTTATCCCACAGAGTAGCTGGTGGGTTTAAACTGCCAACTTTATGGATAGCAGTCCAGTGCTTATCGTACAGCATCATACCAGGATTTCTTAAACAGCCAAGGAATTTGTAAAAAGAACAAAGTAAGAGGGCTCACCCTTCCTGATTTTAAAACATAACATAGAGCTACAATAATCCTTAATAGCCTAATGCTAGTATAATGACATATGCTGTTGTTATTATATTTGCTGAGGAGTCGGTTCCGACTGATAGCGACCCTGTACAGGGTTTCCGAGGCTGTAATTCTTTACAGGAGCAGAAGGCCTCATCTTTTTCCTGTGGAACAGCTGGTAGTTTCGAACTGCTGACTGTGTGATTAGCAGCCCGATTTGTAATCACTACTCTACCAGAGCTCCTTATAATGACATATCAACAAATGGAATAGAACTGAGACTCTAAAATTAACCCACACATCCAGGGTAAGTTACATTTCAACAAGAGTACTAAATCCATTCAGTGGGGGAAAGAACAGTTTCTTTTAATAAATGGTATGAGGAAAGTAGATTTCCCATGCAAAAGAATGAGGCTGGCCCCACAACCCATACCATATACGAAAATTAATTCCAAATGGGTCAAGAACCTAAATGTTATCATTAAAATCATAAAACTTTTAGAAGAAACATAGGGATAATGCTTAAAGAGTGGTATTTAATAATGAATTCTTAGATTTGACACCAAAATTATAAACAGCAAAAGGCAGAATACACTGGATTTCATAAAAAATTAAGAAGTCTTACATCAATGGATTTTATCAACAAAGTGAAGAAACAACCTATAGAACTCAATCAAGATACAGAGCTATTTAAAGTAAAAAAAAAAAAAAAGACTGAAAATAGGGAACCACAGATATTAATATATAATGAAAAAAAAGCAAACCTACAAAGTAAAATGAGGGAATAGTGTAGATACAGAACTTCTAAATTGCAAGGAAGTCAAGTAGATTTCAAGATAAAAAAAAAACAGTTTTAAACAGGAGAAAAATTAGTAAATTATAAGGTAACCTCAAAGATAATTAATATACCTTCACATCAAAAGAGGAAAAATCATACCTAGTAAACATTAACATAACAAAAATGAAAATGACAGAAAACCCACAAATACAATGAACTCAACGTAGAAAATTATGTGGAACAAAGAAACCAGCAGCACCAAAAAAAAAAAAAACCCAAAAAATAAAAACACAGCAATCGCTTCATATCTATTGATAATTACACTAAATGTAATGGATTAAATACCCCAATTAAGAAACAGAGTAACAGGATGGATAAGAAAACAGAATTCTTCAATATGATGTCTACAAGAGAACCTGGAGGATATTATGCTGAATGAAATTAGTCAATCACGACAGGACCAATAGTGTATGATACCACTGTTATAAAAAGTTAAGGAAAGTTTTTCTTGATAAAAGAAACATTTTATGAGTGTTACCAGAGTGGGGTAAAGGGAAAATTAAGTACAGGCTAGAAGATAAGCACATTAATGTAAGTGACAGGGCAGGCAATATACAGCAAGAGGGAGGCTGGCAGAGAAAAGATGAAGATAGTGGGAGACACAGGGAGGAATGTAAGAGTTAAAGTAAACAGAACGTCATACTGTTAACTGATGGTACATGGAGGGGATTGCAGTCATTGTAATGAAAGTAAGTATATGATTAATTAAATATAAAACTGTTGATGATCTGCTATGTAAACCTTCACTCAATTCACAATAAAAATTAAACAAACAAATCCATAGAGAGTTAGAAAAACAACAACAAAAAAAAACAAACCAAACTAAACAACAGGAGGGTTACTTGCAGAAATGGTTAATTCCATGACTGGGGCAGACCACAGAATCCTACCTAAAAGAATTACCAATAGTCCAAACTGGAACAACCTGAGCAACAAAATAAATGATGGTATAGGACTATAACTCAAAGTAGTAAAGAAATATGCATGAATCCATACTTACATAAATAAATAAATAACCGGGAAAATGAAAAAACTGAGGAACAAGAACTCTTCCTTTTAGGATTCCATTTAATAAATACAGAAGGGAAGCAAAAAATAGAAAAACACCACTAGAACACCACCATAATAACAGTCAGAGGCAAGAGCCACTGATGGATGCTAGAATGAGTGTTTAAAATTCTACTAGAAACAGGGTAGTTGTAGAGTCGACAGTATCCCTTCCAAATATTTAGTATGTATAAAGAAAAAACAAGAATTGTACAGTGAAGAATCCTCGTAGCTACAAGTTTGGTCAAGTGGTCAGGATTACCATCACCAATAATACAGTACAACATATGAGAATGCATGCACTCCAAACTGAGCCTAAATAATAACAAATTTTTTTTTAAAAAAAGCCAAAATATTTTCTCCCAAACAACTGATCAGTACTCTTCTAAGTGTCAAGGTCAAGAAAGACAAGGAAGCGACACGACAGAAAATATTACAGAGACATGATAAGTAAACGAAAGGTGAGATTGAGATGCTAGATTATATTCTGAAACAAGAAAAAGTACATTTATGGAAATATCAGATGAAATCCCAATCAGTCTGTACTTTAGTTGCAGCAGCCTTATACTAAGGAAAATGTCTTCATTTGGATAAATGTTTTATGATTATGTAGGATGGTACCATAAGGGAAAGCTTAGGTGAAGGATATATGGGAACTGTAGTAGGCAACCCCCCGCAATCTCTGCTTCTGGCATTCAGGCACTTGTGTCATCTCCAACCCTTGAGTGTGAGATGGATACAGTAATTGTTTCAATTACAGGACATGGCAAAAGTGATGAGATGTTGCTTCCAAGATTTGGTTACCAAGACTCTGGCTTCTGTCTCAGGCACCCTCTTATGTTCCCTCACTTGCTCACTCTGAGGGAAGTTAGCTTTCATGTTGTAAGCTGCTTTACAGAGAGAACACAAAACAAGAAACAGACGTCACCAGTCACCAGCCAGGGAGGACTTGAGATCAGCCAACAGTCATGTGAGTGAGTGAGGAGGCAAGGCCTCCAGTAAAACCTGGAGATGACATCACAGCTGTCGTTAACACCTTGATTGCAACCATGAGCCAGAGGCACCCAATTATACCATACCTGGATTTATGACTCACAATGACTGGGATAATAATATTTATGACTCACAACTGGGATAATAATATATGTTTGTTGTTTTAAGCTGATTACGTTTTGGGGTGATTTGTTGCATAGCAATAGATTAGTAGTAATAGCAATTCTCTTTTTCTAATTAATCTATAAGTCTAAAACTATCTAAAACTATGAAAGTTTAAAAATATTTTGTTCATACATGTCTTTTGGCACAAGTAGCAACTTGTGGTTGAATTTTCCAGTGGGCAAATGGGGATACCACTACCTACCTCAGAGGTCTGCCATGAAGACAAAGTAAGAAAACATTGCTAGACTACCACATGTGGATGTTAACTATTTTTTCCCTGCCTCCTTTCAAAGCCCAGTGGCCTGTACTGTGGAATGCTTCCAATTAGTAGGTGGAAACATTAAACACAAGAAATAGCTCTGTCTCGCTATATGTAAGAGACTCAATGCAAAACTTCATCAATGACAGTCCTAAAATTAGGCTGAAATATATACATTTCATGCGTTATTCTTGAACTGGGTTCCCTTTCCTACGATGTTGGGACAAAATAATTTCTATTGCTATAAGGTTGAAAATTTTCAATTCTATGAAATGAAATCCTTGAGAGGAAGAGAAATGGAAAGAGGACAAGAGAAAAAGAACAGCTTTCCAAAGCCTAGCACAATAAATAAGGGATTAGAAAACGGTACCACTGGATAAGCAAAGATTCTTATCAAAATAACTCAACGCTTTACAATACCTGATGCCAAGTCTTGTCAAAAAACACAAAAAACCTTTGAAAGTATAAATAAGTTACTTTCACATTTTCCTTCTTACATATATTTTATTCATTTCCTGAAAGATTTCTACATTAGTCAGATATAATCTCCCCCTAAGAAAAACCCTATTTCCTCCCCCCCACCCCATTAGTTATGTTTACTGAAAAATATTTACAACCCTTTATCACAAATGCCATCAGCTTGCCTGTTATTAGAGTGAGACTCACCTGTGGTCTGCAGCTGCTGGAGTTGTTACCTCTGGATTGAAATAGCCTTCCAAATCTGAACTGTTCACTTGTGTTTGCCTTGAGGTCACTTTCTGACTTGGTTTGATGTTCCGGTTCTGAGTTATAGTATCTGTAACAGGAAAATGTACGACATGGAAGTCTAGAGAAGATTTAGATTCTGAGGTTGGTTCCAATGATCTCAAAGATCCGGTTTGCAGTTCAGAGTCAAACTCTCTATTTGTCCTTGGTTTACATACAGGATCCACTGAATGTAAGTTTTTATCTAAGGTTTCACTATCCAATTTGGAAGAAGTCTTGGGTGAAAGAGTTATACGAACACAAGAAACTGCTTTTCGATTTGAAGGTGGAGCGCAATGATTCAGGGCTGACTGGGAGACAATATTACTGAACTTGGCTTCAGAATTTTCCATATTAGAATGGCAATGATTGTCCTTTTCTATTACACATTCCTGATCTTGAGGAGCGGAGGAATGGTGGTGATCTACATACGGGTCTTTGCTTTGTTCAAAGAGCTTGCGTTGTTCAAGAAAAATGTCAGAAGGAAGGTCTAGAGCTATACAATTCTGACCTTGATGAATGGGAGAATGGTATTCTCTCATCTGAGAACCTACATGGGAAGCTTTGCTTTGTTCAAACAGCTCCCGTTGTTCAAGAAAAATGCGAGAAGGAAGGCTTGGAGCGACATAATCTTGATAGTGATGAGGTGAAGAATGATGTTTTCTCATGTGGTGATTTGCACGTGGGACTTTGCTTTGTTCAAAGAGTTCACGCTGTTCAAGAAAAATGAGTGAAGGAATATCTGGAGTTACATTCTTTTCTTGTCCTCCGAGTCTGGAATTCAGTCTGCCCATGCTAAGGAAATTGCTAGAATTTGCACTGGGCCTGGGATCAGAATGACTGACTTTAAAATCTGATATTTCTAAGAGTTTTTCTTCTTGGTGAGAATGATCAAAGTTAACAGGTGATTTTTGGCATTTCCCACTGCTCTCTGCTAAAATAGTTAAATCTTTATCTGGTGAGTGACTAAACATTTTAAATGACACGGGGGACGAGGTTTTCCTTTTTTGATCTCTAAGAGGATTTTGCTCTTCAGTGAAATGAGAATTAATCACTCCTGTAGATGCTCCAGAACTATCTTCTGTAACACCAACCTTAAAAACAGAGGAATCTGAAATGCATTTAGAATGCCGGTGAGATGAAAAAGTGATGGAGGTAGTAAACTTTTTCATGGATTCTGGGGGCAACACTTGGGATGAAGAATGAAAATCCATTTCCTCCAATGGCACATAAGCAGGCTCTACAAATTCTGACAACCAAGGGTCCATCTTTTCATGAAATGGCATTCGCAGATCTTTGTTAAAGTTATCGGCTGTAAAATTTTGAAGTGGAGAATGACTTCGTAATTGCAAGGAATTCCAAACTTTGAAGCGGGGGTGGTTATGGTCTAATGATTTGGAAAGGTTGATATGCCTGGCTCTCCATGATGAGGGGCCCTGCTGTCCTCTGATCATTTCATCAGGTTCATCGGGTCTGAAGACACAAGGATGACCATCCATTTGTGCTTGCTGAGTAGCTAGAGTCCTGAAACATTCTTTTTCATGGCTCTCAATAATAATGTGACTACATACAGCTTCTGGCTTGCATCCTATACCCCGTGGACTCTGTAAACCCTAGAAGATATAAACAGGTTTTTTATTAAAGTAGTCCCAAATAATTGTATATGTATCAGTTTTATATCCAGTCTAAGATTTGACTGTGAAGCTCAGGGTGCGCTGTTCTTTTTTAAGAGGACAGCAAGAAATAGACAGCTAACTGTCACATAAAATGGCTCATGAGACAGTTTTCAAAATTTTCACTAAGTAACCATAGCCAAAATCTGCTGCCATTCCCCAATATTCACTTTCCCCAATGCTCATTTTACTACTAAAAGCTTCACCAAGCTGAAGACATTTCCTGTTTCTTCTGCAGTGGATAGGACCCTATGACTAGCCAGTGGGATATGAGTAAAAGTAGAAATACAACTTGTGCTTCCTGTCCTTAAAACTCAACTTCTTGACTTTCATGCTGCCCACTACCATCACCATTGCTCTTGCCAGTTGAAAATGGTAATACCTAGAATAATCTTGGAAGCCATGTGTAAGGACAGTTCAGCGGCCCAGACAGCTTGGGTCTTTGGGGCATAGATCAGTGCCCAAAGCTGACCATAATAAATATAAAATTTCTTTATGGATTTTCTATTTTACCTATAAAGTCATAGTAATTTGACATTCTGTTTGAAGATACAACCACATTTATTTTTACATAAAAATAATTTAGTCTGCTGTTTCTGTGATGACAGGGTAGATGTTCTTTACCATATTCCTCCCACTAAATAAAAGGAGCTCTGGTAGCATAGTGGTTATGAATCAGGCTGCTAACCTCAAGGTCAGGAGTTCAAAACTACCAGTGGTTCCATGGGGAAAAGATGAGGCTTTCTGCTTCTGTAAAGATTTACAGCCTCGCAAACCCCGTACAGGGTTGCTATGAGTCGGAACTGACTTCCACAGCATACCACCTCCCACTACAACTAAAATTCCTGGGCATATCATATAAAACAAATTTTAAAAGACTCTGAAAGGTAGGCACACCAACTAGGGACCCTGGGACATGAGATGTGAGGAGTGACATGGTTGTGAGATCTCTGGGTTTCTCTTTTATCTCATAGACTTGGCGCTGAAGAAGCCAGCAACCTGGAACAAAGGGCACAAAAAACCCTAACAAAATCTGTCCTCACTTACTAAAAAATGAGAAAAAAAATCAATAAAGGTCTATGCTACCAGATCCAGATAAACCACTTTTCCTATACGTGAGAAGATCACCTGTGCCTCTTCCCAGTCAATACTCTACACCTTGCCCCAGGAGCGTTAGTCACTGGTCTTACTTTCAGCACCATTGATTAGTCTGTCTTAAAACTTCACATAAATGGAATCATTCAGTATGACCATTATATCTGGTTTTATTTGTTATATTTAATGTATGCAATTCTTCCATGCTATTAAGATAGCAGTAGTTTGTCCTCTTTTATTGCTATGTACAATTCCACTATATGAATAAACCATAACTGATTCATCTATTCTACGCTGCTTGATAGACAAATAAGAAGCTTTCAGTTTTGGGCTACAGTAATTACTTTTGTCCCTGTCTTTTTAAAGAACAAATGTACTAGTTTCTCTTGCATGCACAGCTAGAAGTAGGGCTGAAGTGTCAGAGGGCAGATGTATGTTTACCTTTACCCCACCACCACCAGTTGCTATTGAGTCTATTATAACTCACGGCAACCCCATGTGTGGCGTAGTCTTTTCAATGGCTGATTTTCTCAAGTACATCACCAGGCTTTTCTTCTAAGGGTTTCTGGGTGAACCTGAACCTCCAACCTTTCTGTCAGCAAAGTGTATTAACCATTTGCACCACCCAAGGATGCCTTACTTTTAGCAAAACAAAACTTTCCAACTCATAGTGACCCTATAGGACAGAGCAGAACTGCCTCCTAGGGCATCTCTACGGAAGCAGACCATGTTGTTCTCTCACAAAGCCACTGATGGGTTTGAACTGTCAACCTTCTGACTAATATCCAAATGCTTAACCACTGCACCACCAGGGATCCTTGAAAAAACAAAAACAAAAAACCTTCCAGTCATTTTTGACTCACAGAGACCCTATAAGGCAGAGAAGAACTTGCTCATAGGGTTCCCATAAATCATATTTATAGAAAAAGACTGCCATATCTTTCTCCCCATGAATGGTTCAAACCAGCAATCACCAACCCTGTGGTTAGCAGCAAAACACTTAACCAGGGCTCCTGGGCGTTTACCTTCAGTTTTTGTTGTTAAGTGCCACCGAGTTGGTTCCAATTCATAGTGACCCTGTATACAGTGTTTGAGGCTATAATCTCTACAGGTGCAAAGCCTCATTTTTCTCCCTCAGAGAAACAGGTGGGCTCAAACCGCTGACCTTGTGGTTTTCAGTCCAGTGCTTACTCTACAGAGCCACCACGCTCCTTACCTTTAGTGTTGTTGTTGTTAAGTGCCATTCCCTGTATAGGGTTTCTGAGGAGCAGCTGGTGAGTTTGAACCACCGATCTTGTGATTCAACTGACCTTGTGGTCGAGTGCTTTATCCCACAGCACCAGACCAGAAGGGCTAAATTAGTTTTCCAGAGTATTGTACCAATTTACCTTCCCAATGCCAATACATGTGTAGGTCACCGGCTCCACAATTTCTCCTATATTTGGCATTGTTCTGGTTTTTACCTAGCCATTCTGACTTTCAGCAGTATCTCACTCTGGCTTTAATTTGCATTATTCTAATGGATAATGACATTGAGAACATTTTCAAATGTTAATTGGTCATTTGCTAAGTACCCATTTCAAATCACTGGGGCAAGTGAATTATTTGTGTGGTTCATTATATAGACTCTGGACGTAGGTCAATGTATGAAAGGGCTTCAAGAAGTGCAAGGAAAAATGTCATTGTCTTTTAATTCTACATTTGCACAAATTTTGGCTTGACTTTTTACTCTTCATAGCAGCTTTGTTTTAATGAAGCGCAATTAATCAAAAATTTCTTTTATGATTATTGTCTTCTTATATCCTATTTATGGAACTTTTGTGGTGATGTAAGATAAAGCACATTGAGATTGGCAATTCAAATCCACCAGCAGCTCCACAAGAGAAAGACGAAGCTTTCTGTTCCCATAAAGATGTGCAGCCTTAGAAACCTTATCCAGAGGCTCTTGAGTTGGAATCGACTCAATGGCAGTGAGTTTTGCTTGGATTATATCCTACTGAAGAAATCTTGCCTAGAGAAAGATGATGCTATCTGCTTCTATAAAGACCTACAGTCTAGGATACCTTATATAGGGTCGCTATGAGTTGGAACTGACTGATGGCAGTGGATTTGATGGGGTTTGCCTAGAGAATTAAGAACCATGACATGAATAGATATATGCACACCCATGTTAATCGAGCACTATTCACAGCAGCAAAAAGATGGAAACAGCTTAAATGCCTATCAGTGGAAGAACAGATATACAAACTATGGTGCATATACACAGTGTAATACTAATAATACTCAGCATTAAAGAATAATAATAAATCTGCAAAACATCTCACAACGAGGATGACCCTGGAGAACATTATGCTGAGTGAAGTTCAAGTTGAACCATCACAAGTGGACAAATATGGTATGAGACCACTATTATAAAAAGCTAACAAAAGATTTTCACACTAAAACAAACATTCTTTGATGGTTACTAGGGGGATGGGATGGGGAAGAGAGAGTAAATTACCAATTAGAGTATTGTTGGTGTTAAATGTTGTTCAGTTGCTTCCAACTCATAGTGACCTGTACAGGGTTTCCAAGGAGTGGATGGTAGGTTTGAACTGCCAACCTTGCAACTAGCAGTTCAGTGTTATCCCATAGCATCACACCAGAATGTCAACTATAGTGTAAACACATATTAACTAGGGTGATGGAAAGGCAAAATACATTAAGAGGAAGTCAGCAAAAAACGGTGGAATCAGGAAAAGACATTGGGAAGAGTGCAAGAGTTCAAGGGAACAGGTATATACTGTTGTATACACAATCATGCAATAATAATGATCTGCAAGTAGATGCATGAACAGACACACACAGGTTGAATGTGTATGCAAGGAATAATGAGTATACCACCCACGAGTCCTGGTGTGGCACTGTGGGTTAATGCACTGGACCTGCAACGTTGGTTTGAACCACAAGGTCAATGGTTTAAGATCACCAGCCGCTCCTGGGTAAACCATATACAGGATCACTATGGGTCAGAACCAACTCAACAGCACTTAGCAACAATCCATGAATACAACATAGACTTGACAGGATATATTGACCTTTGCTGCAAATATATTTATGAAAGTGGTTACACATACAAGTGACAAAATTATGAAAATGTCTTGTTATTGTTAAGTGCCATGGAGTCAGTTCCAACTCATAGGGTTTCCAAGGTATAAGTCTTTGTGGAGACAGAAAACCTCATCTTTTATTCATGGAGTGGGTGGTGGGCTTGCACCACTGACCTTGTGATCCACAGTCCAGTGCTTATCTTATGGAGGGAATGAAATCACTGAACCTGAGGTCTCATGGTCTGGGAGGGGTGTGTGGACACAAAGGTCAAGTGATAGAGTCCACAAAAACGATGTTCTATATCCTATTCTGGTGAGTAGTAACTCAAGTCTTAAAAGCTCATTACCCCCTCCATACAAAGAATAACCAGAGATGGGCAACTTGAACACTGGCTACCCAAAATGGGGGGTGGCTACAAAGGCAAGAAGTGACTGGACTGGCTTACAAGCTTTCAAGAGGGAACCTAGATCCAGAGGGCCTGGAGGAAGGTAGA